GTGATTGCACCTGGTTGCATATTAAGGCTCTTAACATGACCCTGAAATGGGACCTTTACCCGCAGTGGCTGCACCTGGCACAGCTGGGCAAATTTTTTTTTTTTTTGAATCGCAGTGGGTTTTTTTTTCTATTTCACCTAATTTTAAAATTTGTGTCTTTAGTTTAAAATAGAGTTTTCTGTTATCTCCTCACTGGCCATCACCTATTTGCAGGTCACTCTTGGATCAGTTCTCCAACTGATCAGTGATGATCTATACTTCCCAATGTCTGCTTTAATTCTCCAAGTGTTCTGTAAGGAGGCCCTTCAGAAAGAAACAGAGGAACTTTAAGGGAAGAAAAGGCTACTGGTTAGGAGGAAGGGAGGAAGGGAGGAAGGGAGGGAGGGAGGAAGGATCTTCAGCAATATGTAGTCTTCCTCTGAGGACCTTGAGAGTAAGGTGAACTGGCTTCTCCTAGGAGAATTCCTTATTTCCTTCACTTAAAATGAGGGGAGTAAGAGCTGTAGTTGGAGGGAATACTATTTAACCTTTGTGGTTTTGCAAGCAGATATTATGATATTTTAAGTTTTTACTTAATTTTTTTGAGTTATGGGACTATGTTTGACTCTCAAAAGTAATTAAACAAGACAGTTTTTAGAGCAAATATTTATTTTCTAAAAACTATTTTAACAAAACAGAAATACTTTTTGGGAATATATCAACTCTGACAAACTTTAAGGGTCCCTTGAAAAGGAATAGCCATGGAAAGCAAACACAATTTTTTTATAAAATGCATGTGGAGAATATTTTGTTTCCACAGATGACTGGAAAGATGTAGCCCACCTTGCTCTCTGGGCTCTTGATTTGGGTCCACATGGTATGGAAATGAAGTTCAGTGAAATCATTAACTGCCACTGTAAGAGAAGCGATGCTGTCCTCCTCGGCAGGGCTTAGAATTTGGCATGGAAGCCCTGCTGGGACGTGGACCCCTGGATCTTTGGGTAAAGGGAGCAGGAATTTCCAGCCTCTCTTTTTGCTTTCTTGGATTTGTACACTTCATGGGTGCTGCTGTGCAGATACCATCTCCGGCTAACAGAGGTGTTCCTGAAGATGAAATGGCAAAGTCGAACTACAGGCTATTTAGACTGTGAAAAAGACCAGCTCTCTAGACTTGATCTTGCTCTGTGGAAGAACTTGTAGGTGAAGCTCTGTACCAGAGACCCAGGAAGCCACAGAGAGTCACTTTTCCTGCCCTTTTCCACTTAGTCTGCAGCACGACCTTTGCACCATATGCAAGTCTGAAAAACGTCACCCTTCCAGGAATATTTTAAAGGAACTGGGCGCTGTTAGAGAGGCGTGACTAAGGCACAGAGCTTGCGGAAAAGGCGTGGAGCATAATACACAGCAAAGGGTGATGCCTCCCAGCACGTCCATTGCCTCACCCATTGCTTCTGGACGGCGAGGAAATATGAGGGAGGGATGGGAGGAGGTAGAAGAGAAGGTACATGGCAAGGAAAATCAGCAGGCAGTTAATTTGTGACGTTCCACAGGCTGCTCAGTTCAGGCAGTACGAAACATCTTATCTTTTATTTCTGAGCTCAACTTTTGGGGACCCGCTCTTTGTCAAAGTAGCTGCTGCATGTTCTCTGGTGCCTCTGAAATACGAGACGAGACACGTCTTCCTCTTTGTCTTCCTTTCTTGCAAAGCCGCACCACCACTAGGCATATGTGCTCATCACGAAATGTTAACATTTTTACTGGGGCAACACTGTCATGCCTCAAACAGAGATCAGAGTCTCATTTATGCTCTGTGCTGTTCATGTAATGAGTAAAATAATCCTTATGCTGTACGTGTAATGAGTAAAATAATCCTGCTCTCAGAGAGATTGCATGATAAGGATCAGATGAGACATGTCAGGGGAACCAAACAAGTGAACATCATCAGAAAGAGTGCAAGCTAATGAGAACATCAAGTTATCAGAGTGCATCCAAGACAGATTCTGGAACAACTGAGTAAGTGCTGCCCCCCCCGTGTTTTTAGGGGACAGTAACAAAGGGTAAACTCAAAGGAAAGTTGAAGAGGAAGGAATCACCACGTTGCTACCAGTACCACCCGGAAGCAGCTAGGGAGCTGAGGGGCCTTTTCCGTGCTCTCCCGGCCAGCAGGGGCAGCAGCAGAGGCTCAGCCTGACCTTTCCCTGTAGCCTCAGCACCTCATGGCACTGCAACAGGCAGAGCTGCCTGCGAGCTGGGAAACTCTCTGCGGGAACAGGGTAGGTGCCTGGGTGGTTTTCCTGCTCTAGATGTTGTGGAAGTGCTGCATGTGCTAGCTCACCGCAAAGGAATTTGCGGCAGAGGCTGGGGAGCTGCATGCGTGACTGGAGCCCTGCATGCGCCTGTGGGGTCAAGCCAAACCCGGACAGCCCACTTTCCCACAAGCTCCCCAGGCTGTTGGCCCTTAGGGCTGCTGCAGGAGGGGTGGGGGTGCTGCTTCCCCGGTACCAATTACTGCCTGCCCTTGCTCCAGCACCTTCCCTAATGAGGGCCTGAAGTGGGCTGGGGAGGAGCAGCCACCCTAGCCCTGCAAGTGAAGTTCATCTGAGGGTGTGGGCTGGGTTGGGAACAGGCAGGTTGCTGTTGGGGGGTTACTGCATTCACTATCTTACTTCAAAACAGATTAAGGTATAAGTTGAGATACTTTTCAGAGGCTTTCAGGTAGGAGCAGATTGGTTCTGGAGAAAAGGGGGGAAACTATTAGCAGAGGGGGATGTAGTAAGAATTTGGAAAGAGCAGAAGGTGTTGAAATTGGGGGGCAAGTGGGCTGCTATGCTGGGAGGTAGGAGCCTTTGCTACCCGTAGCGAGGGCTTATCTGTAGTAAAGACAGACTAAGGTTAGGTGATGTTGCCTTTTATTATTTCTGCTCTCTTGATTGAACTCTCCAGCCTGTAACTCACCAAACTTAAAATCTTTCTACCAGATTCTCATTCCCCTACTTAAGTATTCACTAGCACATGTAGGTTTGCCCCTGTTAATACAGCCTGTTGGTACTGGCAGAATGCATTGCACCTGTGCCTTCCTCCCTTCCTCCTGTTCTGCTCTCAACTCTGTGGAAGAAGGTTGCACATGCTGGCTCTCCTCTCCTTTTCTAGATGGAGCTAGCAGTAGAGCCCATGTTCTCTCGACTCCAGGAGGCTGCAAAAAGTGAGGTTGCAGGAGGGCCCTGCACAGGTGAGAAGCACACTCTGCTAATTAAATCATAGAGGGAAAAGCTTAAGACTCATCAGTGGTGCTGGGGACTCTGCCTTCTTTATTCTTGGCTGCTTGCTCTGTCCTAAGTTGGTAGGGTGTGTATTGCATGCTAGGTTGGCTTTTCTGTTTGCCGTGGGTCTATAGCAACTGTTTTAAAATAAGAAAATACGGTCTCTTTGGAGTGAAAGAGAGCAGATGGACTTCTCTCCTCAGCCTTTTTCCACAGATAGAAAGGGGTGAGGTACAGCACCATGTCTGAAATATCTGATTCCCCAGCAATACTTTTTGATGGCAATGAAGGGTTGTTCTGGTTCCTGTTTCACTGTTAGAGCCCTGGGGTTACTGTCATGGGCCACTGGGAGAGCTGGTTGGTTGCAGAGTGAGGGATTGCCCCCCCCACACACACACACCTTGCTCCTACAGTGGGCAGTCTTCCTCATTGCCCAGGAGACTGCTGCCACTTCTTAGCCTCCTCGCAGTTCTAATTCCTTGGTGTACGAGATGAGCTCCCCCTGCCTCGGTAAATTTTTCTTTTATTGCTGGTATTTAGATCTTAGCAGTTGTGGCTATGCAAACAGAGATCGCTTTGTCTCTTAAAAGGCATATGACATAAGGGTTTTGTTCCTTGGTGTAATAGACACAAGACTGAAATTGCACTGTGGAGTTTTACCTTGGATGTGGAAAGCCTGTTCCTTTCTAGCGGAGTAATAAAATTAATGTGTTAAATTGAAGTATGTGTAGTGTGAGCAGCTGAATATTTTAATGCAAAATGAGGCATGCTAATGCACTTCCAAGTCTTTATCAGCAGTGAACGTCCTAAGATACTTGCAAAAGTCAAGCTAAGATAAGTGCGCATCAGGAGATGTTAATAATTCCGTTAATATTGAAGTGATGTAAATATAACAATTAACAGAGTAAGATAACCAAAGCTTCTTTTGGAGCACGTGATCCCGTATAGTCATTGTTGAAATAAATAAACGTCATGCTTTAGGAAAGAAAAAGCTATGGTTAAGCGTTACTGTGAACTTCCCTGGGGTGCAGTTTATTTGGCTTTCACTGCAAAGAGGTGACATAATTAATACCTCTTTCATATCTATATCTAGTAACTAATTGCTAATGAACTATTACTATTTTTAACCATAAAGATTTAACTCACTTCACTTCTGCTGTGCAAATATACAGTGTTCCTATAATAATTTTGACAGTTGTCTTTTGTGGTAAGTAGAATGAAGAATCTAATATGCTGGCCTCTCAGAAGTAGTTTAAAAATGTTAGGCAAATTTTATTTAACACAAGTTTTAAAAAAACAACCTAGATCTCCTTGTTGATTTTACCCAGTGAGGACTGAGGAGACTTCTTGTTTTGTTCTCCCGTCTCCCTCCAAGCATATGATATTAAAACTCGTTTTAAAGCTAACTGAGCAGGATGGAAAGCTTTTGGATGAAATCTGCGGGGATAGATAGCTAAAACTAGGTTTTTTTTTTTTTTTTGGTGAAGGGTAAGATGTTTTGACCTTCCTCTTCCTTCCTTTTTCTTGGTTGTTTTTCCTTCTTTGGCATTTCCTGAAGGGTAGAGAAGTGGCAGTTTTTACTTTTGTCTTCTTTTCCTTTTCATTTTTTTCCTTACCCTCTTATCTCAGTCTTCGTAATTTCCCTTCCTCTTTGGGAAAGAGAAATGTGGTGCAACTGGATTCCGGTTATTTTACAAGGAGAAGCTTATTCATCTTGGGAAATGAGCTGTATTAGACTTGCTTCTTATTCCAGCAGGGACCTGCATTCTGAGTGAAAATGAGGCAGAGAGAGGCATCCGGGAAGCCCTTGAGGAGGACATGCTACCTCAGCTATCTGAAACCCCCAGTCCGAACTGGAGGACAGCTAGTCTGCCAAGGCCGCAGAGGGCGAGATGCAATAAACCCACTCGCCAAGCAAGAGGCTCCAGGAAACTAACTGTCCTCGTTAGTCGTCAGAAAGCTCATACCGAAGATAAACCCTTCAAATGTGCAGAGTGTGGGAAGGGCTTCAAGGGGAGCTCTACCCTCTTGAACCATTTGAAAATCCACACGAGAGAAAACCTCTTTGAGTGTTTAGAGTGTGGGAAGAGGTTTAACAGGAAGGCTAACCTTGTGGTGCACGAGAGAGTTCACACAGGAGAGAGGCCCTACAAGTGCAAAGAGTGTGAGAAAAGTTTTGGTCGTAGCTCAAATCTTATTGCTCACTATAAAACCCACGCAAAAAAGAAGGCCTTCTCCTGTGGCACGTGCAACAAAAGTTTCAGTGGAAGTTCGGCTCTCTTCCAGCATCAGAGAATCCATGCGGACGAAAAGCCCTATTGGTGTGCCGAATGTGGAAATAGCTTCCGGCTGTGCTCCAACTTCATCAAACATCAAAAGATTCACTTGAAAGAGAGACCTAGTGAAGACATAGCAGGTAACTAAGTTAAGATCTGTTGAATTCTCATTCAAGCTGCATGAGCTCACAGGGGATGTCCTGGATGTTGATTCCATTCATTCCTAAACGCTTATCCCTGCTTCCTGTGGTGAGTGGTGTGTTTTTGTCTTCTTTTTCCTTCTTCCTATGTAATACATCTGTGTCATCTTTTGAAGATGTGCCTTGAAAATGCCAAAGTTGAAGTTTATAGACTTTGCATTCCCTGAGGACTGCCCAGGACCTGAGTCTGCTAACTCCTAGTGTTTCCCAATGGCTAACCCTAGGTCTTCAGAAGTGCTTAGCCAACAAGATACCTGACTTCGGAAGGGATTTAGGCTCTGTAAACTCGGGCCTTGGTAACCTGTAGCAGTTAATGTTGTTATATGTGAGTAATGTTTCCCGCTTTTAGTGAAGATTAGCAGAATAGAACTACCAGTAAAGATGAAAAGCTTTTCCTTGCCTGCACATAAATGCCTTTGCTAACGGAAAGCCTCTTCTGGCCATCCCTCCTTAAATACTGTTAGTGTAGCTCTCAGGTGAGGTGGTTGCTCAAAGTAGGAAATTTTCTGGATTTTGCAATATTCTCTGTTCGTGTAATGACCAGAAATTGTGAGATTAGAAACTCTGTGGTTCTGTTTTGCTCTGTCTTTAGACAGGCAGACACTTTATACATTGTCTAGAAATGATTTAACACTAAATCTTTGGCCTTGTCTGGCCGTGCACGGGACTTTTCTGGCTGAACGCTTAATGGTGTTAGGGCTTTGACCACTAGATCGGGTAACAGCAAGGCATTTAGACACCAGGCCTAATGAGAAGGCTGTGTTTTGAGTGAGGTTTCTCTGTGTTTTTGTTTGTTTGTTTGTTTTCCCCTCTTCTGGTTCTAACAGAATTCCTGAGGAGGAGAGCCTCTTCTCTTAATGAAATTATAATTTCGGTGTGATTTCAATGGCAAAACTGAATTCTTAATCTAGGTGTGGAGACCTTGTGGTCTATAGGTACAGAGAGGTGACTGAGCGAAGGAGCAGATGGAACTTCCCACTTGTAGGGCTTATTTTAACAGCTTTTTAGTATAGATAAGATCTTCTGGTTCACAAGAAGAAAGAACATAGTTTCATTATTGCCCTGGCAGTTTGCCAGTAAGCAATATCAGATAAACTTAAATCTGAGCCTGCTTCAAACAAAACTGTCCTAACTTATTCTGGAGTAACTATTGCTACAGGAGTAACTATTGCTACTGTATCATTGTAATTGAAACTCCATACTAAAATTGCCTGTATAGTAGCACATGCCTTCCACTGGCCTTGCAATGTGTGGATTGGGAATTAAATTTGGTTTCTATTCTATTTGATTTCTAATCTATTTTGATTTCTAATCTATTTGATTTCAAAGAAGAGGTTTCTATATAATAACTTAAATATGCTTGTTCTGTGTCTTGACTTTTTTTTATTTCTTAACAGCTTTCTTCTTCCTGCTTTGCTTTCTCCTCTCCTCCCTTCCCCCAAAAGTGGGTCAGGGGGTGGGTAAAGCAGGAGGAAACTTCTGAAGTTTACTGGCGTGCAGGAGAGAATCATAGTAAAGGAGATATTTTGATTGTAATTAAACCCAACTCTGTAATATTTCAGGGGAGTGTATCTGCCTAGTCCTTTCTCTGATTTGGCTTAGTTTGGGTTATCAAATGACTTGAATGAAGTTTTATCATTAAAACGTGGATGAGAGGAAGGGTTGTTATTGAGTTGCCTTTTCCTTGTGTGAAAGAAGATTTAAAATGCTGCTCTAGCGATGGGTGAAGTGGGCCCTTGACTTAAACTCTTCTCCTTTTAGATGCAAACCATTTTGAACTTACATCTCCGCATCATAAAGAACAGCAGGGTTGTGGCGCAGAGCAACTTGAGATGAACCACTCCAATCTTATTTTTGAAGAGTGTAAGTATAAAAAGGCTTCTAAATTGCCAGCCAGTGCCTTTTTGCATTGCAGACATTAACATTCTCTTCTCTTTGTACAGTGAAGAAAATGAGGGAAAACATGGATATGCTTCTTCTGAATCAGCAAAGTCAGCTGCAGGTCCTGCAAGAAATTCAGAAACAACTGAATATACTCTTGCCAGGCAATGATCTCATTAATTCAAATGTCTATAATTTGGGACTCCTGCTAGGACGGCAAGCAGCTGCAATGGCATCTCTCTCTTTTCCCCTTCTTAATCCCAGCAGCCTCCTTACTGAAAATGCCAATCTTTTATCCCAATTGCCTGCTCCTGAAATTCTCCCTACCTCTCAGCTCCCAGGCTCTCAATTTCCTGCAGCTTCTACAACTTCCTGATCTGCTTTGTGCTATGAACGTATCAAATGTGAACAAATGTGAGTACTGTTTTATACTGTTTTCTCTCAAACGTGTGATTTCTTTGATGTAATTGTGATATCATACTACCTTTATAGATGCTGACCCTGTGCTCAAACTTTGACTTCACTCGTGTGCATCAGCAAACAGAAGCTGATCAAATCCATCATCCGTTCTTTCATTGCAGCATGCATAGATTTTGGATGGTAATGTATTTTGTCAAGGCAGCCCAAGAGATCTTTATCACCAAGGTGTAGTTAAGTAGAACATCCCTACGATACTGCGTAAAACTTAGGATAATATGCTTTAGTTTTTAACTGAGGTGTCTTTAACGTGTACTTGGCTAATTGGACCTTTTCTAATGAACTGAGGTTAATGATAAAATAATCTGGGATGCTTTAAGCAGTTCTTATTACTTCTATTTTGTATAGAAGTCTGTAAGCAACATGTTTATGTAAAGGTATTCAATCTAACAGCACCTCTATTCCAAGCATCTGTTTACAAAAGCTTCCTTACTTCAAGAAGGCTTTAAATTAGGTGACCTTTACTGACTCTCAGGCCAGCGTTGCTAGTAGAACTACAAAAAGGATTTAAAAAAAAAAAAAAAAAGAAAGTATTCAAGTCTGCCTTGATTGCTGGAATTTAATCAGGAAAAGCCAACTTGTGTTATGAAACGCTCGTTCTTTTCCTCAAAGATGTCCTCGCTTAAATCTTTTTTCTGATATACCGTCATACCCTACTGGTTTACTACATGCTGTTGACTGTTATATATTAGCTCATTGGGAGTAGAACTGGGGTAAATAATTACTGTCTTGGGAGGGACACTGAAAAGCTCAGATGCGCCATCTTGTAAAATCTGCAGGGGCAAACGTGATTTTTGCCTGCCTCTGCAGGACTGTGGCCTGAGGCCTTTTAAGGTTAGTAAGGGTAGTGCGTTAAGAACGGTTAGTCCTTTTTATCTTCTTGTTTCTGTCTTCGACACAGGCAAGTAGTAGCGTCAGAGCCTCTAAGCTTCTAGAGTGCAACAAAGCTAATTTAATTATGATTTGCTTTTGCTGGAGAGCTGCTTGGATAAAGAAACTTTGGGACTTGTACCTTACGCCAGACAGAATCTTGCTGTTGAGCTTCTGTTGTGTGTGTTTTTGTTTTTTAAGATGACTTGTTGAAAGCGTGCACAGTTACTACCTAATAAAATATGATTTGGATTTTGAGAATGGGAAGCACTGCTTCTCTTAACAAGTGATTTGGTTGGTGATATTCAGTGCAATGATGTCAGATTCTGGCCCAAAGATGGGATCTATGGGATCAGGCATGACTATGTTTCTTTTCATGTGAGTGCAGATTGTGAAAAATCACACACTACCACTGAAGGCCATATAATAAGAATTAGTCTTAAGTTACTAAGACATTCATTTAAGCTAAATTGACAGTGAGGGCTTAAATGACATTTCCTTCAAAGTGAACTGGTACTAAAATGCTTGATTGTTTTCCATCAGTTGAGCACATCAAACTGAATCGTGTGGCTTGAGACTTACGAGCTACAATAAGAGTTGCTAACAACCTATGGAAACTGTATGATACTGTTCACAGTTTCCTGCATGTTTAGTTTGCTTTTGTTAGAAGCGGGGTCCCCTCTTCAAAGTAATAGTTAAAGTTTGTGTTTTAGTGTTTTTAAGATGTTCAATATTAAAACACTGCATTTTTGGTGAGAAATGAATCTCTGCTGCGTTTCTGTCCTTTATAAAAGAGCACCTCTGCTTTAGTCTGCTCAGCTACTCTGCTAAATGCGCCTTCTCTGACTTTCTGTTTTTCTCCTTCTCTCTTCCCCTTCTTCTGCATCTAAGTACCTCCTTAAATTTCTACCTTCTGAAACTTCTTCAGAAGAAGACATAACTAAGTCTGCCACTTTGGCAACTTAGACCAGGTAGGAGGAATCTCTTACTGGAGGCCATAATAAGCCTTTCACCTGTCAGGTGGAAGTTTGTATATGATGTTTCTCTTCCTGTATGGTAAGTTCAGGAGCAGTTCAGAACACAATAGGGGTGAGCTTCATCCTTTCATGCCGATGTACTCTACTGTTTATCTTAGGTCCCATCTGAGGCTGGGGGAAGGCCCTCAAGACCTCTGAGCCGCAAGTTCATTGAGGGTTGGAGGAAGAGGTAAAATGGAGGAGCACAAGAAACCATCACATTTCCTTTTTTTCAATTACCCCTCTACTTCTCCATGAGAATGGAAGCTGGAAATCTCTTCCTCCTCCTATCCTCCCAAGCACTAAGATTGAGATAAGCATCTCTGATGCTTATCAAAAAAAAAAAAAAAAAAGCCTTTACCTAGGTAGGGGGGGGTTTGGGGGCTTCCTGCCCATTTTGGAAGGTATCTGGAACACTTCCTGCATCCTTCCTTGCAGTACTCTGGCCCTGGTGTAAAATGGTGGATGTGTGTGTGCAGCAATATTTGATAGCCTACCAGGGATACTGGAGAGCTCTGTAGCGTTCAGGAAGGTGTAAGAGGGTACCACAGATGCTCCCCTAGTCAACTATGAATCTGTGGTCTGAACAGGTAATGTGACTGGATGGCATATGGACAAGTAACGGATAATGTAGAGGAGATACAGTCTTTAACAGCTGTGGGTGGAACAAAGTTGAGCCCTGGGCTTGAGGGCTTAGTTTTCTAAATCATGTCAGTCCACTTCTGAGGCATGTTCAAAAATATCGAATGTCTGTACGTGAGGAACACATTCCACACTCGCTAAAAACATCCTGTTTTCAGCCATGTAAAGGAAGTTGGAATCTAGGATCATGCTGATGTATTTCCAGTCTGTCTTAAATGATAGCGGCTCAGTAGCTTGACACCAGTGAGAAATGCTTTTCTGAAAACAACTGCTCACACTGCTTTAGCACTGCTCTTCTGACAAACAGAAAATCAGTTTACCCAAGGCCTATTAAAACTGGGGAGTTGATGTTTTCCCCTGCTTTAATCTTCTGTCATTAACTTATGTGACTGCTTGGATCTGCCTGCCTCAGCCCTGCAAAGATTTTTTTTTTTCTTGAATTTTGCTTCTTTCAAAATGTCTGGTGGTTGCCTGACATCAAGCAACAAATTAGTACAAATATAACTAATGCAATAAGCTATTATAAGGATGTGTGATTCGGGGGTGACTGAATTTCTGTGGTTTCCCACCACAGCTCAATCCTTGGAAGGGGACAGTGTTCTTCCCAGTAAAGTGTGAGAGAAGAGCAGAACTGCTGTGCCTGTGAAGTCCTTGGAGAGCAGTGGGTCCTGAGAAGAGAGGAGCTGTGTTGGAGAAGAAGAGGAGTAGGGGTTTCTAGCACCCCTTTGTACTGGAGCCTCCCACGAAGCCCTCTGGGAATGGGGCTTGGCTCTTGAGCAAGACCAATTGAGATGCAGTGGAGAGGAAGAGAAAAGGGAAGGAACTGTCCCAGAACGTCATCATTCCTGAAGGTCTCTCAGCCCTTTGTACGCTTGTTTACACAGAGAAAAACTCACCTTACTCTTTTGCCTGTCCTATGTTGGATGAGGAATGCATGCATTGCTCTAGTAAACGTGCGAAGCACAAATACAGCATCCAGTATTAAAGAGATGTGAAGAGACTTCATAATCCGATGGGACTTGGTCAACGTTGACGTGGTTACTGTGGTGTTTGAGAGAAGAGTCCCTGGGAACTGCCGAGTTTTAGGGCACCACATACCTGATGGCATGCCCCTCCTTGCTCTTTTCGTTTGTCATGTTTTCTGATAGTGTGTATATATATATTTTTTATTCTTCCTTTTTCCGCCACTCCACGTAATTTCTCTCGTTGTACTGTCTCTCTGGATTTTGTTTCTTCTTCTAGAGAAGCAAAAATGCCCACCTGCAGTGGTAAGTAAGTTGTATAATTCCATTTCTACAGGTCAAGTAAATACGTACCAGAACTACTTTCAGAGCTAGCTTGCCCCATGACTGAAAAGGGAATTTTTGTTACACTGCATAGTTAGTCTCTAAGAGTGTAGCTGGGAAGCTGAATGAAGTAATGAGAATCTCATTCTCTCTCAAAATTTATTATGAGGGTTACAGGAAGAGTCACGTACTTGAGGTTCAGCACTCTTCTCCATTGCTAAGTTCCTTGGAGTCCGCTCAACTTCTGATAGTAAAAGCTGTTTCTTTCACCGAAGACTGTTCTTGTAGTTTTCTTGCCTGATGTCAGTTCGGAGGCTTTCTTCCATTTTGTCCAAAACTCCTGCTTAGTGAAGTCTGTAGCTGTATCGCCAACAACGCTAATACCTACGAGAAAGAGCGTTGCCTCTGATCAGGCCTGTGCTGAGTGAGTAATCCTACTGTTTGGTCACAGCATAAATACTGTCATCAGCATAGTAGAGAGCAGTACTTATCTGACCTAGATGTGTTTCTAGTCCTGTTTTATGTAACAAGGTATAAAAGAAAGGTGGGCAGAGGAGGTGACAAGAAGGAAAGGAGAATGAGAGAGACTGTGTGTAGGATCTTAACAGATAATGGATGCAAGATATGAAGGAAAAACACCAAAAAATTGATACATTTTAAAAAAAAAACCTATCTTTTCATCTTGTCACTTGGCTTCTTTCTTCACTGTGGGACAGTTTCAGAACAATTTCTGATCTCATATGCTTATTCTGGACTGTCTTGGCACTATTGTTGGCCTTTCCTTAATTAAATCCTGTTTGCAGAGTACTAGCAACATATTAATCCTTCAGTCCCGCTCTCAGTTCTGTCAGTTTCTCTAGCAGCAAATCCAGGCTTGCCCTACCCAGCAATCTTTGCCTGTTGTCCTCCAGACACTTGGAAATTGCAATATCAAGAAAGTGAGGAAATTGCAATATCAAGAAAGTGAGGGAATTGGGAAAAGATCCTCAGGCATGCGGGATTCTTTCTGGACACAGAGGTATCTAACAAGGCCAAAAAAAAAAAAATTAGTATGTTTAGCCCTAATGACAACAGTTTTCTATAATGAATTATTAAGAATTTATTCTACAAATTAATAACAACGCTTCTGTTGATTTCATTCCCTTTTTTTCTCTGTTTAATGGATAGCTTCCACTAGCATTTCCCAATCCGTCGGTGGCTTATCTGGAAATCAGAAAGAACTTTAATGCTGGTCTGTGGATGACCACTGAGAACCCTTCAGACAGAGTGGTCAACTGTTTTGGATTCAACAGCTCTGGGATTTGTATCCCTATGTGAGTTTCCAGCTCCAGCCTTTGTAAGGGTTCATAATGTTTTGTACTTTCTTCTAGTCCTGC